GAACTTATCATTATAGTGATAAGCCTATAGGCTTCATCCACTTTTCATAAGAGGGGGTGGAAAGGAGACTCCGGAGCATCAATCCGTACTGCTCCATGGGACATGATAATATGCATCAGGCTACAGGTAGAGTCAGCTGGTGTCCTAGCTGCCCCGTACACAGTTCTCTTTCAACTCAGTGTGGGCGATGGTATCTTTCCTAGCAGCTGGAAAGAAGCTGTTATCTCCCCCCTATAGAAATAGGGTTGCAGACACTTCCGTGTTAGCTACGGCCCTATTTCCCATCAGTATTCCCGGCAAAGTCTTCGAGCGGCTTATAAACGAATAAATCGTAAACTATCTTCGGTTCAATAACCTCATTCCTAGCTTCCATCTAGGATGTCTACCTCACGGATCATGCGTCACCAACACACTGACTGTCATGGATAGCTTGACCTAAGCCTACAATTCCAGCCAGATTTCTCATGTCGTACTCGTTGATTTTGCAAAGGCTTTTGTCAAGGTCCCATACATCCCTCACACATACATCCTCACACTTACGGCACACGGACTTCTAGATTCCCTACTAGCACTTACTCGTAGCTTCCTCTCTAATCGCCCATTCGCTGTGCCAGGTGGCAAATCTTCATCACAACCCAGACTAATAATAACTGATGTTCCTCAGGGATCCATACTAGACCCCCTGTTCCTTATTTATATAAATGACTTACCCGGTGTAGTTTCATCAAGCTCTGCGATGCATGTCGTTGATGTCATCATTTGGGATACAGAAGCCTCCCTTCCAACTGGATGGTTGCTGACGGTAAAGGACATGACAGAAAACCGACAGCAATGGTGATCTTCCTGTCACTTCTTATCAGACCAGAATGCTCGAAAACTTGTGTATCCAGAGCTGGACTGTGTACATTGTGTTCTGACTAAAGAAGTTCGCTTTCTTTTACCGTCCCTAAAATAAGCTTAATCTATATCCTCCTTATACCTTGTATGCATTATGAGCTTGGCAACTATGAGTGAAGTTCGCTTCATTGCATTATGTTGTACACTGATAATCATGATAATGATGATGATAACAGTGATGGAAACTTGGAAGTGCAGAAATTAACGAAGATTGCCTTGGTAAGTGATCTCAACTAACAGGGCCTTATGCGGTTTGCCACTCCAAGTCCCGGGTTTTGGGTTACCGGTTTCCAACTCCGAATAACAGGCCTACGAGACTATGGGATTCATCTTGTCTGATGTTTATCACATGAAATGTGTGATAAAAATTACTGTTCTGCTACCGGTTGTGGACGAGACCAAGTTTTCTGCTCTACAGTGAACGAAGTGTTCCTTGGTTCTCTGAATGGTTGTCGAATATCCTTTTCTAGGTTACATTAGGCAATGGTGAGAGTTGTATATTATATTTATTTCTAACACAAATGTGAGTTCAAGTTGTGTGCCAAACAAATCTTTATAATCTTAATGAAAATGTTCTGAGGTTTGCTCGTGGACGTGATACTGTTAGGTCGCCCAGGCTGAAGCAGATGAATTTTCTTGATGAATTAACATCTGGAGCCTTGACTAGCCAGAGACTGACCAGCAAGAAAGCGCGGAGATGTGTGAAAACTGCAATCCATTGGGGGCCGGTGTTCAGTTCATCGGTGGGAGTTGGAAGTGGGTAGCGGCGCCAGTGGTGGAAGGCTGAGCGTTTTAGGTGTACAGTACGATCACTTACGTGGTTAAACCACTGGGGAAATCGGGTTTGCCGGGTTTGGAAAAGTGCGGAATAAAAAGATGTATACCTTGGAGAACAATGTACGTGAAGATGAATACAGATTTGGAAATGTCCGAGCAGAAACAACAATCGTTCGTGAAGCTAGGAAATCACGAATGTCGTCCCATTTGATTGATTTGTTGAGCTAGAATGTTTCTCGAGGTTGGTGGCGGATCGAAGGGGACGACATCCGTGATTTCCTAGCTTCACGAACGATTGT